TATATATAAGTTCTATTGTCATTGCATAGGTGTACAACGAAATTGACTTTGCTCTCAGTAGAGATAGCTCATGTAAGGAAAGGTGAAATATTAGTAAAAGTAAAGCTAAAATAGATCACACACACACACACACACACACACACACACCTCTTTACATTACAAATTCTGCAGTCAGGTGTTGATCAAATCAAATCTGGTTTTTGAGGTGAACTAAAGCCGTGTAAAATCACACATGATGCCCTGATGATCACTAAAATATGTTGGAATAACAGATGCTTCTGTTATATACTTGTTGGATTTTACATAGACATGATCTATTAAAGTGCCTTTCTCGGTTGTTGGCTGTTTGACTATTTGGGCATAGCCTCTGTCAGTCAAAAGTTTTAATATTGTTGATGATTTTAAAATGTCATCATTAAAATCTCCCATTAGTACTAATGTCTCACTTTGTACCTCCAGCCAATCAAGCAACTTTGTTAAATTTACTTTAAACAAAGAAAGGGGATACAAAGGAGGTCGATAAATGAGTCCAAGTACTATGTGTAAGTTAACAAAGCTATACACTAAACTCTCCAAGTTGACGTCTGGAGCCTGCAACATTTTAAATGCCACACCATCTGCAGTATAAAAGCCAACACCACCATGTTGTTGTTCTTGAAAAGCAATCAATGACTCATGGGTACTAGAATAAGCTAAACCTCGTGGGCAGTTGTAAAAACTATAGCCATCAATCTGTACTGCATCTGATCTGTCTGTAGATACCCATGTTTCTGTGACAGCAATGCAATTAGGTTGCAAATGCTGTGTGCAGAAAGCCAAGTCTTTAACGTGTCGATTCAGACTTTGGACATTCATTAAAAACACAGTGAATGCAGAAGAGTTAAATCTGTCGAACTGTGAGTTTGGAGTCAAAAAAGGGGTCATTTCGTTAACTGCAACTGTGATGTCATCTTTACAATAGATTCGTTTTTCATCAAAGTCCTGAATTGTGAGTCCTGAAAGACTTGTTACACGGCTAAGTGCTACATATGCTTGACCTGGTGCAAATATTTTCCTAAAACTAACAACGGCGTTTTCAAGAGTGAGTCCCTGAACTTTATGAACCGTAACCGCCCAAGCTAATTTAAGAGGAAATTGTCGACGTAATCCACCTTTAACAGTGGCCCTTTCCTCCTCGGGTTCAATAGGTGTAGATCCAGCTAAATTTGCTGACAGAGACTGGGAGGTTTTCCTCCTCTGCAAGCCTACACGATGGTCATCAAACTGAACATAAACCTTTTTAGGAAAGGTGTCATTTTCTAACATTACCATTTCTGTCAATGTACCACAAATTCCGTTTACTAAACCGTCAATGAGATCCACATTTTTACACAACATTACACGAGCACCCTTCCCCAACTGTAACACTTCGGACAAGTTAGTATTAGAAGCTCTGGCATGATTCCCTTCCAACAACTTTAGTTTGCCTGTTCTTTTATCATTAACATAATCTTTGGCTGTAATTGATATGTAATCAGGACAAACGTGACATAACTGATGAATGTTGTGATTATTTACTTGATTATTTGTTGCAAATATGTGCAATGCTGAGCTCGCCTCACCTGTTTCACAAGTTTTTAAAACCTTTAAATCCTCAGGTAACAATGGTGTACCTTTTGTATGAGTTCTGATTCTATTTAGCAGTCCAGAAAACACAGCATCTTTCTGTCTAACGACTTCAGTTAACTGTACAACTTTAAATAGGCTTGACCATAAGTTGCTACCTACACCATCAGAATAGAGTGGCTTCCCTTTAACAGGAGGTAGCTGGAAGAAATCTCCAACAGCCACTACACTGACATTTCCAAAAGGTGAAAAATCACCCGTTTGTTTAATTTGACGTAATCTACCATGAACATAGGACAACAGGTTATGATCGACCATTGATATTTCATCAATAATAAGAAGCTGCAAATCACAATATTTTGTACATAAAGAATTTAGTTTTTCTTCACCCAGAGGAGTGTACGGTAAGCGTACATCCTTTCCTATAGACAGTGTAGTGTGGATTGTTGTTGCACCTAAATTGTATGCTGCAATCCCAGTAGGAGCTGTTAATACTACACATACATTATCAGGATGTCTACAGCTTGGTGACAGTAATCTCTGTGTTTCATACTCTATTGCTCGAATTAAATGACTTTTCCCAACGCCCGCCCCGCCTGTAACAAAAACATGCAGTGGTTCAGGGTTATTACCATTAACTTTATCTACACACCACTGCCTGATTTGATTAAAAACAGAAAACTGTTTTTCATTTAAAGACCTAATCAATGCCAGACCTTCACCTCTACTCATCGTGTTTCTCTTCTCTAAATGTGCAGTTTGGTTTGAACATGGAGCCAAATCTGGGATTACTTCTGCCTCGTCACTTACTGTTGGTTCTGATTCTTTCAGTATTTCAACACACTCTAAACGTTCCATTTCAACTGCCGGACACAACTCACACCATGCATCTTCTAACATTACATCACCGACTATATTATTCACAGCGTCCAAATGATCGGATTCTAACTCAAATTTACCCCGATTTAAATCTACAACAGCCTTTACCGAGTGGTTTGTTCTATCAAAAAATCTAACTAAACCAGTTCTGTAAAATTCCTCAAAAGTTTCACAGTTAAGCTTAAGTTGACTATCATGGCGGTACGGTAAAAACAGCTGCAAAATGCTTTGATAAAATTTCTCTGAGTCTTTGGTTTCAGAGAAACGCGCGTAACGAACAACCGCTGGTTTAGTCCGAGTTCTTTTTGTAACAAATCCTAAATCATTACTTAACTTTATAGGATTTCTACATTTTTCGTTTTTACTCAAAACACGATATTCTGATGCAAACGTAGCCAGGCACATATCATTGAACACATCATCATTTGGCCTCTTCTTATAACGATCAACTAATCCGGTCATCCACATGTCATCTGAAGTAAGCTCCTGTGATGCTGCTTTTTGCCTCAAAACAGAAATAGGCAAACTCATTTTCACTATATTATCACCGGTGGGGACAAACACAACTTTCCTAGAACACTCCTTTAGATGCATGTTAGTTAGCCTGTAGACTGCTTCTTGAGCACAAACATCCCGATTATGAAGATAAACATTACCAAGAGTCTTCAAGGCCTCTTTAGCACTAAGATTACCATCTTTGGCTGCTTCTCTTTGAGAATTAGCAAGCAGAAGGCCAATTTCCCGTTCACTTTTAGACATGTATGATATTATGTATACACAGCACGCATAAGCATCGACGCAATACTGGATATCAAGATTAGCATTCCAAGCTTTTAACAGCAACTTGCTATACTGATTAATCCAGATTTCATTAACTTCCCTTTTCAAAACAACATGTGTATTTCGACTAAATCGTTTATATGCCATCTCAAATACTTCCTGACTGATACCCAGGCCCTGAAACAGACCTTCTACACTGTTATATGGACAGTCTTCACTAGAAATAGCAGTCTTTACTTTAGTTAAAATGGCACTTGCTACTTCTTTGTCCATTTCCTGTTTACGAGCTTTATCTTGAAACGCACAGGCACACTGTACAGTGCTATCTGTTTTATCACACTTGCATGTCTTCACTGCATCTTGATACTTTTCGCCACGGCTAATAAAAGTTCTAACAGATGCAGGCCGTGGAAAATTAAAACGACAAACTGTTTTTTTCTTTCTACAAGTCTTTGAATGCCGTTTGGAGTGCTGCTGGACAGATGAGACAACTTCATGTAGTGAATCGTCTTCAGAAGGAAGTTCACATGTCACATATTCATCAACAAATGCAATGACCTCCTCATCTGTGTTCTTATCTAAAATGGGAGCACCAGAAACCCAGAAAAGGCAATGACAGTGAGGAGAACCACGCTGCTGGAACTCAACACGATAATAATAATCTTCTATTTTACCAATGGGATTGGCAGGAGACATTAGCACTTCCCTTAAGAAGACATGCCATCTAAAATCAAACATTCGGGCAGCAGTTACTGGATTCCTACGTAGGAGGTCACATTTATCAGCCCACTCCAGCTGTTCCACTGTCTCTGTTCTGCCTTCCTGTTTCAAAATACTATAAAGAAGGTTAGTCCACCTCAAATCTGCTGACGAAAATGATGCGAACCAAGTAGGTTTGCCCAACATTTTTACACAAGCCAGGAGGTCTCGCTGAGCAGATTGCCAAAAAGCAGGTGTGCCGCGAATTGGTTTAAGAAACCGGTAGCCATCATCAAACTCTAACAGCTTACTTAAAGAATCCTGATCCTGTATCAAATTACCCAACTTCTGAGATTCACCGCTTTTACCTTTACGCAAAGCTATAGAAACTTTGGACACAACTTGCTCTAGTTCAGACATGTACTGTGCAAAAAATATATATTCTACATTGTTGGCAAATCGACCATCAACATGAAGAAGCCTGTTGTTGAAATACCGATTCAGAGTCAAACGAAATTGTCTGCTTTCATAGTAAGTATTAGATCCTGAAGGAAACAAGACGGGAAAACTTTTTGCTTCATTTGTAAAATCTGAAAGCAATTTCACTGGATTGTTACCTTCACCTGGAGCTACATTTAATATGTTATCTACATACTGGTCCAATGCTTCTTGTCCTATATCTACTGGCATGAGACAGGTGTCCTGAAACATACAGTGTTGTTGTCTGTCATGCAATAACTCATCTTCTCCATCTATGCAAGTATCTTCATCTTTACCAGAACCACTATCCTCTTCCAGGACAGATGACGCATCTTCCTGAGTAAATGTGTTAATCCAAGATTCATTGAACTCTACATCTTTATAATGCAAATTATGACGTTTTAAATACTGAAGACCTTCCTGAACATGCTGTGTGTCAACATACTGATAATCATAGTGTCCTTTATATGTCAATTTACGCTTTAACTTTACAGGTAATAAAGACCCCTCCATGTTGGTACGTGGTAACAAACTGCACGTTTCCACTATATTTGCAGGTACACAAGTGACAGGACCATGAATCCCATTCTGACCACCTTTGGGCAGAGCCAACATTTTCATAAAGGGTATATTCATCGCTATTAAATGTTGCTCTAATGTATTTAAACATGCCAGTTGAGGTGGGATGGGATCAACAGTCAGCTTGTTGATTGAACTTTCTGGGGGTATCTGACATTTACCCATTTTATAATGACACGTGTAACAGATGTACAGTTTATTTCTACATAAATTAAATTTGCAAGGTAATCTACAGGCATCATCGCAAATGTGCAGATGATTGTCACTTATACATTTATCTGCTATAAGTGACATTTCTTTGGTTTTTCTATAGTACTCTTGATTACAATTTAAGACCTGATGTCTAAACAACAAACGTGAGCAGACACAACACACAAAATCAGGTCCATCTTTCACTTTCTCTAAAAATTGATCTACAACAAAATCAAAGTTTTGTGCATTTACTTTAATCAGCTTTCTTTTATGCTGGATACTTTCTATTAAACATGTTTTATGCTCAATATTAAGGTATTTCTTTCCACTCAACTCTTTCATTTTGTTTCGATGAGCCAAATTATGACGATACTTATACACACTCACCTGTTTAAGCTTCTCTTGATGAGCTAAGTTATGACGATACTTATACACACTCACCTGTTTAAGCTTCTCTCGATGAGCCAAGTTATGACGATAGTTGAAAATGGCCCTATGTTTGACCCTATGTTTAACTTTCTCTTTGTAAGCCAAATTATGCTGGTATTTGAAAATGGCCCTATGTTTGGCCCTATGTTTAACTTTCTCTTTGTAAGCCAAATTATGATGGTATTTGAAAATGGCCCTATGTTTGACCCTATGTTTAACTTTCTCTTTGTAAGCCAAATTATGATGGTAGTTGAAAATGGCCCTATGTTTGGCTCTCCGTTTAACTTTCTCTTTATGTGCAAGAAGACATTTGTATTTAAATTTGGTCACGCTGATCTTTTTCATTCTGTAAGCAGCATTTTGCTTGTATGCATTTTTTTTCTGACTTTTTATTTTGTCTTTAACTGCACTTATCGTTTTATAATTAGAGGCTTCTGCAGAAGCCTTATTTCGCTTTAAATATCTAGAAAAACTCTTCCTCATTTTCATCTTTTCCATGTTTGGGTCAGCATTTAACTGCATCACAGTTGACCTTCTGCATTTGTTTACGTTGTCTGACAAAGAATCAACTTTACAAAACCCAAAGCATGTTTCTTTATTACACAGTCTTATGCAAAGAACGGGTTCAAAATGATTATTACAGTTTGACAAATATAGTCCCTCAGTGACAAAATTACCAGTTTGAGAACTATATTTGACCCACTCTGTGCCATTGTTGATAAATATGGGTAATCCTACAACACTGGCTGTAGTTCTAAATTCTACTTCTGTAGCACAGTGACCGACATAATTCATCTGTGACTTTTTTATGTATTCTGACACAGAAGCATGTTCTTTCCCCAGAAAGTTCTCACACTCTTCAGCATTTTTGGACATATAAGAAACAACAGCGAGTCTGATCTTACGATGGCCCTTCTGTGACCCACTAATTACATGAGCTACAGCTCTAAAAAAACTGTTACCATCTTCAATAATATGTTCTGTCTTACACACATTTCCTAAAGGCCCACCTGATGTGGACTCTTGAGAATTGTGTTTCTCAAAATCTATTTTCAACCGATTACACAGAGTTTTACAAAAATCTGCAGACATAGGAGTAAATAAAGTATTTGAATGAACAACACTAACACCATCTGTATCTATGGAACTCGGCTCAAGTGTCACAGTTTCTACTGAACATTTTAAATGTTCTGTAGGGGCATGTCGAGTATTGTATCTACCAGAAATACTATTTACAGGGCCACAATAACCATAACAAGTTCCTGTGTTAGGTTGTTTTACACAAACCACTGTCTCATAATGGTTACCATTAATATTCTCCAAATAAACAGCCTGCTGTGAAAAGTTGCTGTTGGAAGTGTATTTAAGCCATTTATCATTATAGTAAGTAAATATGTTAATGCCAAAATAATCAGAAGCAGCTTGAATTTCCACTTCAGTTGCCCAACTGCCAACGTATTGCATCCTGGATGAGGTGAGGTACTGCAAAACTGAGGAATACTCACTTCTTAAAATGGTTTTATACGTTTGAGGATTCTTTTTTAACTGACTGACCAAAGCAAGACGGATTTTTCTATGATATTCCTGGGTGCTATAAACAGCTTGACTAAGTGCTCTAAAAAAACAGTTTCCATCTGCCACTATTGATTTATTCATGCATGGTACACCCAATTCACCAATCACACGAGATGATTCATCAACCATTGCCGACTTCACATTCAGACGTTTACTTAAAACCTGTGACACGTCTCTAGAAATGGGATTGAAATGAAAATCTTTAGTGCTAACATCACTAACAAAAACAACAGGGTTTATGTCGGTGTCATCTGTCTGTAACTTTATTGGTTCCGAGAGTGTAAATGACTCTTCACGCCTAACCTCCTTTCCTGTTGTTGGAGCCAACCTTGTTTGTTTAGAAACATTTTTAAATGTGTCCATCTGAACAATGTTAACTCCACTGATCTCAAACAACTTCTGAGTTCCATTTAATTTACTGGCAAACCTCAGAATATATCTAAAAACATTGTCAAGACTACTAAAGTATAGAATTACACTTTTACCGTTTGGATCAACCATTCCATCTGCAGAACGAGCATGTGAATCAACAATAGCATAATGTCCATCTTCACTAAGTAAAGCGCAAGTATTGTCTCCAAGTGTAAATAAACATGTTTCATATTGTGTACACATCTTATTCAAACCATCCCAAAGACTAGTGTACACTCCAGCATTTATAAGTTCGCCTTCAACGATATCTACATTTCCACAAACAAAATCGCCATAATTCAACTTAAAAGTCTGTTTGCCCATAACGATTTCCTTTGGCAATTCTGGAACAGAAAGAAACACATTCCCAGCACTTATTAGATTACTGTCACGCAAATGTGTGTACAGCTCATCGCCCAAAACAACAACATTGTCTAACATGGCAACATCCCATGAAAAAACACTTTGTATGTTGTGCTTAGTTAAAGCAACAAGACTAATTGCTGCACACTGAACGCCGCCATATTTAAAACGCCCATCGCTCTGATTAAATGATCCTGTAAGTGAGCTTAAAATTGTATAATTGTTTACAATACTGTTGTCATCATCAACGTTAACCACACTTGTGCTACATGAAGGAACAGGAGATGATTCATCAACCATCGCAGACTTCACATTCAGACATTTACTCAACGCCTGTGACACGTCTCTAGAAACGGGACTGAAATGAAAATCTTTAGTACTAGCATCACTAACAAAAATAACAGGGTTTATGTCAATGTCATCTGTTTGTTCAGATACATGTTTAAATGTGTCCATCTGAACAATATCCACTCCAGTGATCTCAAATAACCTCTGAGATCCCACCAGTTCACTAGCAAATCTCTGAAAATGTTGAAAAACATTATCAAGGTTCGCAAAGTACAGAACTACACTCTGTCCTGTCGGGTCTACCATGCCGTCTGCGGAGCGTGCATGGGAATCTACTACAGCATAACGTCCATTATCACAAATGATAGCACAAGTATTGCCACTTAATGTCATAATGCAAGTTTCATGCTGTGTGCACATCTTCTTCAATCCATCCAGGAGAGGAGTGTACACACCAGCATCTATTAACTCGCCTTCAGCTACATCTACATCTCCTAAAACGAAATCCCCGTAAACAAGCTTAAAACGCTGTTCTTCTATGTCAATTTCCTTTGGCAAGTCTGGAACAGAGAGAAACTCATGTCCACCTCTAATCTTCTTGTTGTCGCGCAAATCTGTGTACAGCTCATCTCCTAACTCAACAACGTTATCCAACACGGCAAAATCCCAAGAGAAAACACTCTTCTGTTTGTGCTTTGTTAAAGCAACAACAGTAATAGCTGCACACTGAACTCCCCCATATTTAAAACGCCCATCGCCCTGATGAAATGATCCTAGGACAGAGTCTAAAATTGTATCATCGTTGTGTAAAATTGTTTTATCTTTATCAAAATTATTTACAACAGGATTTTGAACAGTTGTCTCGGGAACTAGAGATGACAGCAAAACCTGTGAACGCACGCAAGAAGGGGTGTTAGCAGACTGACCTCTGGGTGATGCATGCGCATGATGGCCAGAAGGAAGCATCACAGCATGGGCAGCAACAGACCCAGAGACAGACCCAGGACAACCAGATGCCTCCTGATGGTGGGGTGAAGGCAGCTGGTCACAGTCCAACACCTATACAGAAGAAATTAAAGGTCAATACATCGTCAATAAAGATTAGTTTAGTTTTTATGTTTGAAACACACGCTTCTTACCTCCTTCCTAGACCGAACAGACTCCACGTCTGCAAGAGGATTTATGCAAGGTGTGGATGCAACCTATAATTAAAGAACAACAACGGTGAAGAAAAATAACACCACAATGTATTTGTATGCCAGATAATTTAATGAATCAACCTCCTGCTGGACACGCCTAGCTGCTTTCTTAAAATGTCGCACAGATGTAGTCTACAAACAGAAAATAATACGATTAAGTACAATACTTTCAAATATACCATACAGACAGCCCATATTACAAGCACCAGGAACAACATTACACTTTACATTAAAAGATAATAAACTTTTGCTTTAAAGCTACCTGTATATCTGTGGGACCATCCGCTGGAGCAATCGTGTCCATGGCAGCCAGAATTGAAGGTGAGAACCTAACGGGATTCAGGGGGATGAAACACTCCTTCAAGGCCACTGAAGTGTCATCAGCCTATTGAAGAAAATTCACCACATATTATCATCTAATCAAAATTCTTTGAAAAAGATCAATCAAAAACATTCACAAACCTTAGAAACAACCACTCGTTTCTTGGGGGAATTAGAAGTCTTTTCAAATTCCCCTGAATGGTTTCTCTGCAATGGTAAATAAAACACATTTAGAAGCATTACTGGCCCAGTTGCCTAAAATTATAAACATTTTACAATATTTATACTTTATAAAGTCTCTCACCTTCCCGCTAGGTCTCACAAACGTCCATTCGGAAGGGCGTGGAGGTGGAATGCGTTCCACACCCTTCACAACCACACGGGGCACAATACTCGCTTTCTGCGGACGAGACACCTGGTGCTGCACCAGTGGCTTTGGTGCGTGTGTCTCCAAGAACTGATAGGAGGCATTCCACATCAGTTGCGTGAGTATAGGCATCCCGTGATTATCACTGAGGTGGATCTGCAACCACAAACACGAACAAAAGAATACAAATTTATCATCTCAAACTTAAGAACCTTTACCTTGTTTTCTTCCAAGCAATATACTTACACCATCACGGCACCACAGTTTAAGACGGTACCTGGGTAGGTGATCGTGGATCGGCACATAACTTACACCTTCGAAGCAGAAGGAAAAAATTCATGTAAACTTATAAATTGTGATTGTTTGATACCTAAGAGTAAATAGCAATAACGCTTGTCGTTAATACTACCTTTTCATCTAATTATGTTGCAACTTACCTAGCTTAGCCGATCTGCGGTGGTACTCCTGCTGAAACAGGTCTTGACGCTCCCAGGATCCAACTAAACGGGGAATCATGGAGGTACAGAAAACCTAAAAAAAAAAAAAGAAGAAGAAAGAATACAATTATTTTTAAGGATGTACGTTTACTGTCATCTCTCATACCTTCAAAATTACACAAATCAGCCTCTCACCTTAGGCCAGCGACTGAGAACAGCCAAAAGGTACCGCTCAAATGCATCCCCTGCCTCTTCAACTGTTCTGCTGGCCGTAAGGTTGTTAGAAGGAGCCATGACGCAAACAGCATCAGGCTCCCGAGGTAACACAGCCTGTGAAACCTCAAGGCGCAGAAGATCTGCACAAGCTCCTGGAGTGGACATCACACCAAAAGCGAGGCCGCCAACCGGCATAGGGACTATGCCGTCTGCCACGGACCTCAAGTGGGAGTCCCCAACAAGTAGGATGAACTAAATTAGAAAAATTTATAAATACATTTCAATATAAAACAATCTGTATTTCTATGACATTTCATACAAACGGCAATGCAATATGCTTTTCAGGAAGAAAGAGATCACATTAAACAGTCAAAGTTTACAAACAATAAAACATGAAATGGTAAAACTAATCACAGAATACACCAACATAAATACAAATAAAGATATGTAAAAATAACTGAGCAGCTTAAGTTCTAAATCACAGATTGAGAAGCACCGACTAAAAAGGAAGATGAACACAACTAGGTTTTCTATTAAGATTCAAAAGTTGGTAGACTTTAGGCACATGTCAAAAAGAAGCCGATTCAGTCTGTTTGCAGCACTGTAACTGATAGCGGCTTCAACACCATCTGACCGTTTCCTTAGAATCCCAGAGTACTGCTAGATAGTATTGGAAGAAAATCTATATTTATATTTTAAATATTTGTGGACATTACACTCACTTTCTTGTCAGGAATCTCATCTGGAAGGACCAACTTGTGAGCTTTGTTAGAAATCACACTGGTCGGCCAACGACGAACTCGATGACGAAAGCCAGTTCCAGAAACTTACAAAACAAAAACACACACACAAAAATTAACAATCTTTTTGGCTAATAATTTTTCATCTTACATAAATACAGTATAGATTAAATCGATTGCAAAACACTACAATAATTTGTTCTGCGAAATAATACTGCAATACATACAATTAACATCATCATTGATGTGCGTTGGAATCCCGATACGAATAGGCGGAGCTGGACGATTGCTGCGCTTAGCAGCATCCGCCTTGCGTTTGGACTCTTTGCCAGGCATAGTGAATGCTGTTTGAAACATAAAATACATGACAGCACTATTAGAAAAGCAACACAAACACTATGGATTTCTATGTTATCATGTGTCTGTACTCGGTAAAGACAGAATTAGACTCACTCACTCACACCTTTTAGAATCTTATACAACCATCAATTTGCTAAACTTATATAATTGTAAAAACAATCCTAAATTTTAAAGAGCAAGTCACCCATGACCAGATTCTTACTCAACTCCCACTTCCTGTTTGAAAAATGCAACAAATGCTGTTGTCTAGCAGACAGAGAGGGTAGAGCCACAAACAAATACACACACTCACAACATTGTGACATAATAATGTAACATCTAACATCACTGTGTACCTCTTAGTCAATAGCTATGACAGATTTAAATTCAAATGTAGTGCAGAGTTTTTATCTGACAACGGCACAACACTGACAGTTTTAGGCAGAAAATTAAAATCTTAACTAAAATGCACTAAAGTGCAAAACTATTGACTATGCATTTCTGTAGCACGATTAGACACACATTTATATAGTTTATCAGAAAAAAAAGTTGATTTGGGGGCGACTTGCTCTTTAAATGAGTTAATCACAGTATAATCTAATTTAAAGGATAAAAATTAATAACTTGTGTGTGACATCTATGACAAAATACATTAACATAATTATTACTACTTTACTGATAACCCCTGAACAAGGAATCATAATATAAAAATGAAAATTTCTAATCAAACCCCAAGAATGTAGTTTTAAATCATGCTAAATTTCAAACTATTGTTTAAAAATATCAAAAGTTATTAAATGTCAAGTTTTATTAGAACTTACTTGCACTTATGAAAGTGCACATACACCTGCTGTATTCTATATATAATGCTTAGACTAATTCAAATAGTCAGCAATACATATACTAAAAAACATTTATTTATAACTGCATTGTATGAAATATTCAGTCACAACATATTCTTTAATTTAGTCTTAAACAATGCAACTTTAATAGTTTAAACACCCCATTGTTATCAGTCAAACTTTTGAATAGTCTTATGGTATTTACATTATTTTACTTAATCTCAGTTTAGCTTTAAGTACTGTAACTTTTAATAACGTTTTACTTATTTCTACATTAAACTTTGCATGACTAAAAATAAACTCACAATATTACATTATTTTTATCATTATTTTTTCCCTGTGTCCTGTCTGGCTGTGAAGCAAACAGAATTGATGTCTGAATGTTGGTGAAAAGCCTTACAGATTTACTCTCAAGTGGAGCATCAAAGCTAATGTCACGTCTGATACTTTAAACTTTATTGTTTTTGAATACTTTGTAATTCCGACCAGACACGGAATCAGAGGCGAAAGATAAAGACAAAGACAAAAGGTGGGGGCAGAAAAGGGGGGGGGGGGGGTCCACAAAAATAAACAATAATGAACAAGAGTCTGCTTCTAGGCCTGCAGAAAGAGAAAGAAGAGAAAAAAATGGGACACACAACACAACAGGAGCAAGCTATCACTGTGTCAACTTGAAGAAATACAATCACACAATAATAATAAATCATAGTGCATTTAGTGGCAACGACAGCCTTAAGACATGTGTTGAACGTGCCCAAGTCCATACTTATATGAGCACCTGTGTGTGTGTACACACGCTTGTTTATGTAAGGTTTCTCTATAGGAGCGTCCAATAGAGAGTGTGAGGGGCCACAGACCTGCCCCCAAAGATGTGTAGGAGACTAAGAGAGCTCCAAGTCCCAGAGATCCAGCCGCTGCCCCAGAACACAAAAACCCCAAGGAGACTGCAACCAGAAAGGCCCCCGCCCCCTTGAGAGGTGCAGAGGATCGCCCTGGGGGGACCACAACCAGCAGCTGGCAGAGACCCGGGAGATATCAGCGGCAAGCCCACCTGCAGCCTCCCACCCCCCGCCTGGGACCCAGCAGAGCCCAGGGACCCAGACCCCACCAGGCAGCCACCGGGATTGATCAGACAGATGCCAAAAATCTTAAACCCCCTGACCCGGGAGCCACGAACATTCAGGCAGACCAAGGTACCGCACTCCACACCAGGTGTGGCAGGGAGAGGGGAGACGAAGATCTATATCATCAAAACAAGTCCCAGGAGAAGGGAGGAGTCAAAGGCCCCACCTGACATATACAGTCATACACAAATAGAGCTGAAACAACTAATCGATTTAATCGATTATAATCGATTATTAAAATAGTTAACAACTTTTTTAGTCATCGATTAGTTGTTTAATAATCATATTTTACCGCATAAAGTCTATTTTTACCACAATCTGACATCGGTTACAAGCTGTTAAATTTGCCACCAGTGTGTGGCAGTAATGAGCCACTGATCTACCAGTGGAGCCGTAGAAGAAGAAATGAGCCAATGAGTGCCCTCGGTTTTCATGACGTATCACGTTACTGACGCTCATCCATAGAATGCGCTCATCTTGCTGTGAGAGATGGCGGAACAAGAGGAAATACGGAAGAAAAATAGAAGCGACAAAACTTTAGAGAAACCCCGGACAAAAACCTCACGAGTATGGGAGCACTTCACTAGATAACTTGAAAAGGCAAAATATGCAAAAACCATCTAGCATGGCACGGAAGCACGACGTCCCTAAGTGAACATTTGAGACGAAAGCATGTGGGGGCTGATGCAGCAGAGGAAGAGCACCGCGGTCAAGTGAGCCGTCATTTGGAAGAGCCAGCCCGGTAAGTAACAGAAAATAAACAAGCTGGACTTAGTGTTTTAGCTGAGTTCGTTATAGTGAATGTTAAACATGTTTTTTTTGCCGCGTCAGTCTACGGTGTTCTACTTCTGATTGACTAGATGCCATCGTGAATCTCCTCCGTGTTGTGAATCATGCGCTTGCCAAATTCAGCACGTCTGTTTATAAGAATGTTCTCGTTAAGAGAAAAACGGCACAAACCCATAACTATGTTCCTCATTCAAAAAAGGACAACTCCGCGGTGAAAAATATACAGACGAGCTGTGTCCAGGTGAATATAACGCGGCATAGTTGTACGCTTTCAATTTTTAAATACAGGAGAAATTCAGAAAAAGTCATTTTTTTACTATTAAAAGGCTGTTTTACTATCTAACGCTGTAAAACGCCTCACAACACATTTTTATCATGTTTCTTAAACAGTATTACACAAAATAAACATTTTTCACATTTCTCTAGCTAATTTAAACACTCCCGACTCAAAGTAAAAACCTCATGAGCTTCTTACTTAGAGCTTTTTAATAGTAAAAAAATTAGACTTTTTTTCTGAATATCTCCTGTTGCAGGCTATTTTGTAGAACGTAACCCTCAAAATAAATGATCACTGTATATTGTTAATTAATTCAAATAATATAATATTGATTTAGTGTTGTAGTGTGTGTGCTGCTTTATTTTATATGTGTACTTATTTCAGTCTATTTGTGTTTCTTATGCAGAAAAAAAACAAGCAACGATGGACAACTACATGGGGAAAGAGACACTCACCCCCCAGCAATTCATACCACTTACAAACTCTATTCTAAACATGCTGGTAAAAGACATGAGGCCACTATCCATGGTGGAAGGAGCAGGCTTCCAGCTAATGCTAAAAAATTATTCTGGACTGATATTTTGCACTGTTTAGCTCATTTTATACTGCTGACTGTGTTCATGTGCAATAAAATAGATTGCAGTCAACTGCACAATTCTCTTATGTTTTTTTTTCTTAACTGAAATGCATCCATCACTTGTATAGGTTAAATAGCTAAACAATAACAAACCGATTAATCGATTAATCGAAAAAATAATCGACAGATTAATCGATTATGAAAATAATCGTTAGTTGCAGCCCTATACACAAACACAGTAATACACTCCCTCTCATGCTCACACATACACATGAAACCAAAGACTTCTAAAAATGCATGCCAGACACCCACTTATGCTCCCTATACACACCCTAGTCCCGGTACTGCTGCACATTGGGTACAACCATTACTAGAGTTTGACCCTTTCTGCTGGGGTGCTGATGAACAGACTCCCCGCCCAACGCTGAGCCCAGCAACCCACCACCCCAGACCCCAACCAGACAGCCAGATCTCCCTCTTAGCCTCCAGCCCCAGGAAGCCAAGCAACAACAGAGGTGTGCTAAGACCCCTAGTCTCCCTCCGCCTGCTCCAATATAGTTAGTGTTCGTTGATGAGGTGTATTCCATGGCTGTGGTGAGCGGGCAGTGCGGGCATTGTCTGCCCATGCCAGTTGATGCCACCACACCACCCCACTTGCACCCACAGCCCTCGGTGTCTAAGTGCACTTTAAAATTGGAAGTGGCCACCGGCACCCTGGAGGAGGCTGAGATATCCCCCTGCCAAATGCCGCTGAATGTGCTCACTCCCAAGGCCCTAAGTGTGTGTTTGTGTGGAATGTCGTCAGTGGAAGTGTATAAGGTGCAAATAAATTGGGGGGCAGGTTGTCACAGGAATGCGGAAATGGGTCCATACCCGCACTCCCTGATATGCCCACCCCCCCAAGTTCCTATGTGTATGTTTGTGTGATGATGTGAGGGAGCAGGAGGAGAGAAATATGCGGGGATGGGGAGGAATGGCTGGTTGGGCGTAGCCCTCCAGGGAGCCAAAAATAAACTTTTGACAATATTACATTCAAATGTGAAAAACTACAAGTTTCTGTTAGAAACATAAAACAGAAGTGACTCAAATATGCACTTTACTTCCACGTTTTATCAGCAAAAAAAAGTTGATTTGGGGGTGACTTGCTCTTTAAGGGCAATTCTCATCTGTTTTGTTTGATCTCATCTGTAGACATTTATTATTATTGGGGATGTCAAACAACTAATTTTTAAATGTAATTAAACATAGGCTGTGAATTAATCAAAATTAATCACCATTTCCACAAATGACTGAAAAAATACCAAATAAACCAAAAGTAAATGAATGCCATCCTCCTTGTGATGATGCCCTGGGCAACTGCCATAAGTCACATCAAAAAATGCTGCTGATCATTCCAATGATCCCAAATAGACTCACATTAGACCACATGAAAGCAACTGAACCCAAAAATATATTAACCAGTAGGGCTGCTCAATTAATCGAATTTTAATCACGATTACAATCTGAGTTTTGAACGATTATAAAAAAACAAAACAAGCCGATTATTTGCTCCTCCCGCTTGCGCTGCCCTGAGTTGCAAATGAAGCGTTCCTCCACAGTGTTGCCAACTTAGCGACTTTGACGCTATTTCTAGCAGCTTTTCAGACCCCCTTCTTGACTTTTCAAACTTACAAGTACCTAGCAAACACCTCAGAAACATCTCTGGGAACCCTTAGCTATTTTCTGGATAACTGTCGTCAACATTTCCTGCAGGTTAGCTTAACAGCTCTCGGAGCTGGCTCCCTGTTGGATTAACCAGAGTGAGTGACACACACACCGCACCTGCGGACTCCTGAGCCACTAAAAATGACTAAATGTGCGTGTGCGGCGCGCTAAACACATGTGCAGCTTGCCCCGATTGCTGTGAGACCGGGTTGGGGGTGTAGCTGTGGTTGGGACAATTATTACATTAACTGATGGACCTGTAAATAAATAGTTTATAAATAAGGTAGAAATAAGTTCCTCACGCTGATAACTAATAACTAATCTCTCTGAGGACACGGTGCTTGTGCACTCTCCTACAGCACCTTGACACGACTCAATGTTATGCAACATTTTGTGAACATCAATTTCTTTGCATTTATTTGTTATAAATGTCACTGTATAATTCTTGCTGTCAGTATTTGCAAGGTATTGGTATTTGGGTCTGTACTGGTTAGACTTACATGAGTTAAACCAAGGTCTATAGCCCTTGGGTCATAGACTGTGAGCTATAAGTATATTGGTCTTTTTATACTGGGAATCAGGAGTTATTTTAGTGATCATCTTGTTTATTATTTTTGTCCTGATTGTGCCCTGAGCAATTTTATGACTTAATAAAAACAAATAAAATCAACATAAATTGAAACATCGTCCTAAATAATCGTGATCTCAATTTCAGTCACCATAATCGTGATTATTATTTTTGCCATAATCGAGCAGCCCTATTAACCAGTAAATAACTGCACTCTCACACAACACGCCTGTGTCACTCACGCAACCTCCTCTAGGGAGGCACCGCAGAGCCGCTCAGACTCCATTACCCAACATCCCCAGCGCCAGGCTTCCGGTTCACGTCACCCGCCAAATCTATTTAAGGAAGTGCCGCACAACACCGACTCACGTCGGCATCAACCATCAAGCATTAACCAACCAGGTGCGAGGTCCGCACGGCTCCGCGCGGAAAAGTTGCGTCATTTTAACAACTACGCCCCTCCACCGCGCCTCCGCACGGCCCAGAATTTCCGCAATGCACACCTCGGAAAATTTCTAACCACGCGGAAAAACATGGCGGACCAGCAAGAACTACTATGGCAGAGGTTCGTAAATAGACATTTGTATGATTCAGCTCTCAGAGGTCACCGTGATCAACATGTTGTTAATAGTTCTTGGAGAGAAATAGCTCGCACTGTCGGAAAAGACGAGAACGCTGTTAAAAATGCTGAAATGCCATGTTGTAAACAGTAAGTTCTACTTCTACTATGGTGTAGTGTTGAATGCATGCTGTAGAGCTCCATGCTGCCCCGTTCAGTTTGGGAGAATATTGGCTCACCGCAGAGACAAGCCGCACAAACCATAAACACTGCGAGTTGTGAAGCGCGTTCCATCCGCGAGCCGCATCACCGCGCGGAAAGTGAATGCGTCAAGCATAAAACCAAAGTCATTGTTCGAACCGAACCTAACCCAGAGTCCAAACCAGATTGTCTCAGATCACGAAGCCTGTTCAGATCAGACCAGCCAGATCTAAGAATCCTGCCTGTTCTTAGAGACCAGCCTCAGACCAGGACTCGCCGTGTTCAGCTGTGTCACCAGGTCACCATACAGCTGCGCACTCGGCTCCCAGAACAGCGTGTCCATTCAACCCGGCGTCAGTCACTCCGCGCTTGGGTTAAAAGCCACGCCACATCCAAACTCTCGCCCAGCTCGAGTCACCCCGTTACAGCCTGCAGCAACAGTTAGGACTCCTCCCTCCCTTTTTAAAGCGTTTTTGCTTCCTAGGACATTGTGGTTGTAAAACCCCAATGTCTGAGACTCGAGTCTGGTCCCGGTGTGATCAACCAGTTTCTGCGGGAATGTAACGGCGGAACCGGTTCGCAGCAGCGCGAGTCCACCGCCCCTTCGTGTCTTACCGTTAAATGTTACATCACGTGCCACATGGACACTCACTCACGCTGCAGATTCAACAAAACTACTTTACTCTTTTCCAAATTATATCACAAGAATAATGAAGCTGCTTGCGTAAAAATCGACACAGCAAATATGTAAGTATTACTTACCATAATAAGAAGTGAACACGCCAGCTGAATACAGCTAATATTGCTTAAAACAAACATACAAACAAACAAACAAACGACAGATAACAATAAGCACAAATGAAATATTCTCCAAAATGCTGCTTTACAACGCTAAAAAGAAGGCAAAACCCCAAGCAAGCCTACGTAGTGCGCACTGAAACGAGTCTTGTTCAAAGACGTGAGGGGCGGTTGGATTGAAAAATATATAGCCGAATTTGAGCCAATCAGCGGGATAGAATTTATCACGTGGAAAAATATCTCCCAATAAGGTTGAAGTCTTTAGAAAACACAATGCGCTAATCCTCCAATCAGTAAGGAAAATCGGAAAATTCAAAATAAACCAATAAGTTTCTTTAACGACACAGCAACGTCACGTTCGTCTCTGATTCCCGTGTTTTACAGAGGCCGCCCCCTCACGTCCAGACAGTCCAGGAGAAGAAGCCGGTATAAGGTTAGTCAATCGATGTTAAAGCTAAAGCTAGCAAAAACTAGCTACTTGCTAGCTGACTAATGTTTGTTGAAATTATCACGATTTGCAGTAAACGATGTCCGGAGAATTGTTCGAGGATGCATAGCTGTTAGCTCAGACTAGCTTTTGGCTCAGACTAACTGTTAACTCAGACTAGCACTTAGCCCAGACTAGCGTTTGGCTCAGACTAAGACTAGCTTTTGGCTCAGACTAGCGGTTTGCTCAGACTAGCGTTTGGCTCAGACTAAGACTACTTTTTGTTTCAAACTAGCGGTTAGCTCAGACTAGCTTTTAGCTCTAACTTGGCAAAAGATGGCTACCACAGATAAGTTTCATCAGCAAACACAAAAATGGCACCAACTCTGTTGGTTTTACATATTCATCTGAAATCTGTTCATTTTTTAGGTCAGTCATTCATATCGAATTACACCAGATCTTATGATTTTGCATGATCCATTATTTTGTAAATCTGATTTCAAGTTCCATGAAAAACAGTGATGTGATGTGATGAAGGGGCTTGACTGTGACCAATAACGAGACAGTTGTAGCTGAGCAATACGGGCCGTGTGATCAAGCCAAAGCTTTGGTCAAATCTAAAGGCAATAAGGAAAAGCATGAAAGTCAGCTGACTAGGTGAAAGATGTTGCAAGGAATCAAAGCAACATGCTTCTAGAGACTTGTACAGGTATCAGGTGGTGTTCTGACTGTTTCTGGTTTATTTTCTGTTTTTAGAGCATTCCCAGGTCTGGTCACAGCCCATGCCTTTTTTCAAGGAATCAGGCTCGTGATGGGACACGGACCATACGCCAAACTGGTCGTAGTCTTCCTCTTTACCTCACTGGGTTTCATGGTGAGTGTGGAATAAATCCTCACGGAACAAAAATGATTTTTGTGCGTGCGTGTGCAGTTTGACTGAGCAAGCCTATTTTTTACCCTGCAACTTCTGGAAGGAAACTTTGCTCTGTTCTGCAGCTCCACACTGGGATTCAGAAATGACTTCCAGAATATTCTACTGGTCATCATGGTGAGCGCACACACACGGCATTCTCACAGCTAGAGCAGGTCCCGTTCTCCTAGCACTGGCAGATGAAACTCTGGCCTGTGCGTTAATCAGTGTTGGGAACGTTACTTTAAAAAAGTAATTAGTTATAGTTACTGATTACTTTGTCAAAAAAGTAACTCAGTTACAAGATCATAAAAGTAACTGATTACCAACAAAAATAACTACTTAGTTACTTTTTTCATTAAAGAATGCAAGAATTACTACAATAGTGAAATATAAATGACTAATGACTGGAACATAATAAAATGTATGTCCAAATGTTTTTTTATAAACCTGAATAATTTAAATAAATAAGCACTTAACAGGAGGACCTACTAACAGGAACATTACACTTATCTAGACTATTAAAAGGTCATTGTGTGATATTTAACAAGACCCTAATCAGCTGAAATTTAAAATTGCAAATAGAAACACCTGTAAAGGTTCCCGAACCTTTAAATGGTATCTCGGTCTAGTTAAATTACAGAAATAAATGTAATTTTGCACAGTATTCTAATTTTTCCAGCTTCACATAATTGTGTGTTTTTAGCAGCATTTCTGTTGCTGGTAATCTAGTATCGGTTAAATAAATTAATAAAATCCTTTAAAATGACACTAGAAGAGGCACAAGCCTGATGGAGGACTTAAATGTACTAACATGGGTCAGACCCAACCACAGAAGAGCTGAAGCTGGGTGGTGAACACACACAGGTTCTAATAACACCTGAGCTCCATGTCGTTTGAGACTGATGCATCAGTGTTACAGCGGGGCTAAAGACATGATCAGGAACAGGTTACAGCTGGATGATCTAGGAAGGCAAAAGATCAGGACGTCTGAGTGGTGAACAGGTGAGCGGACCTTCGGGACGTCCCGCTGTCACGCCAAGAAGGGCACGGCTGCAGACCCGCAGATTCACTGCTGCAGATTCCCACCTACAGCAGCAAATCTGCGGCGGGTCTGCAGCCGTAGATATTCATCATGTCTTCCTCATTCTTCATGGGCCGTGATGCTCTTGGATGAAAACATCTACCTCTAGCAGCTCCTGATCAGCTGATGACAGCTTCTACAGACCGCGCTGCTTAACGCATGCATTTCCTTATCAGTAACAGAAACGACGTCTTGACGTGGGCCGCTGCTGTAAAAAGTGAGGCGCGAACCAGAAAAGCTTCTGCCGATCACAATTCAACAACGGATTATGAAAGAACGGATAACGCTCGAAACACGCAGATTCTTCCTGATGTGAGAGGTGAGTCTCCACTTTGTTTTGGTTGTTTTGGCGTCGACATCATCCTAGCGCGCCGACACCTCTCTCTCCCTGGCTGCAGCTTTTTGAGGTTCTCTCCAAGTTCAGTGAATCCAATTATGTGATCAGAACTCCTCTAATGAGAAAGAAAACCATGACTTGCCATGTGAATCGTTTGAAGCTATTTCATGAACGTGCTACCGCTGTGACTCAGCCTTGTTTAGTCTCTGCAGAGGTTTCTCCCCCACTGCCTGATACTGTGCAAGATGATGCTGTGGCGTGGAGTTTGCTGCCCCCTGTCACCCCACGTCTCTGCAACTCCGAAGCTCTCTCCAACCTGTCGTCCAGTTTGGGTCACCTCACCTCTTCGCAACAGGAGGAGCTTTCTCATCTAATTCACTCTTTTCCGGAACTATTTTCAGACGTGTCCAGTCAGACCCACCTAATAACTCATGACATCAGCCTTACTGATTCCGTCCCCGTTCGTATGCACCCTGACAGGGCTAGTCCGATGAAGAGGGAACTAATGAGAAAGGAAGTAACTTATCTATTAGAACATGGCCTAGCAAAGCCCAGCACCAGTTCCTTGAGCTCACCATGTTTACTGGAAAATAAACCTGATGGCTCATATAGGTTTGTTACTGACTACCGCAAGTTAAATGCAAAAACCGTCCCAGATTCGTTTCCTTTGCCTCGTGTAGAGGATTGTGTGGATAGTGTGGGTTCAGCTACATTTGTTACTAAACTAGATCTTCTAAAGGCCTATTGGCAGGTGCCGCTAACTCCGTTTGCATCTAAAGTGTCTGCTTTCGTCACTCCAGATAACCTGCTCCAGTACACCGTGTTGCCGTTCGGTTTGAGGAACGCCCCCGCTACTTTTCAGCGTTTTCAGCAAGAACTACTTCTTCTTCCGCCAACCATGGTGTGTGATACGGCACAATATAAATACCTTAACCCTCCACTGGGGGGCGCACACTGGGCTCCCTGTTTATTCAATTCAATAATTTATTTCACTCAAAGTTTAAATATACAAACTTCAAATTAGAATATAAGCATTCGAGTGAAATAGGGGGAGGAAGAAGAAAAAATCTTATATGACCTACCCCCTTTAACTAAGACAAGATAAATAAAAAGTACAAAATAGCCTTATACACAAAAAATAAACCGCTCTCTTACTTCCACAAATAATATCACTACTAAAACATTAATCCTCCATCCTAAACCCACCAAATCATACGATTTTAGCCTTTTATCTTTATACATTTTTTTTAATTGACCAGTACTTGTACATTTTTTTAATTCATCATCCAGGTTATTCTATAATTTCACACCATATGTTAACATACACATTTGCTTTAATGTAGTACGAACAAATATCATTTTAAACTCTGGTTTCTTTCTACTCTTATCATTTTTTGGGGTCAAAACAAAGAACCTTTGTAGATTAGTTGGCAGTAAATTATTTCTAGCCTTAAACATAATTAGTAAAATTTTCAAGTTAACTAAGTCTTTAATTGATGCTTTTCCTGTTTGCTCAGCAGGAAGAATCACGCCCCTCCCAGAGACACCCTCTGTCGTGGCTGGATGATGATGCAGAGATGGTGGCTGCTTGTAAATCTGTGGAAGGTATGGGGCAGAACAAATCTAATTTGCACCTTCCAAGCTTAAACAACGCACACTACAAATTTTTTGTGGTCTTTTTAGACTCCCTCATCTCAAAGCAACCAACAATAGGAGCTGCAGCGACCAGGACGTCGCCAAAGGCTCCTGCTCTACAGCGGCTGTTGGTTTTCCTGCTCCTGCTGATCCCTCTGCTTCTGAATCCCCTGCTGGTCCGATAGCTGCTTCTTCTGGCTCCACTACTCCTCCTGGTCCCTCTGCTGGCTTTTCTGCTGCTGTCCTGGACAAGGTTTTAAGGAACAGGACGGACCTTGCGATGCCAGTCTCTCGGCCTGCTGCTACTCAGCCACAGCTTCAGCCCCAGGTGAAGCCTCAATTTCAACCTCAGTCTCTGCTACAGCCTAGAAAACAGACTCCTGTGAGTTGTGAAACAGTTGTAGCCTCTTCCACCTCTACGCTATCTGAAACCCCTTGGCACACAGTCAGGCCCATTGTGCCTAAGCGGTCTCTGTTCAGTCCAGCTCCAGCCCTGCGTCGCTCCAGCCTTCTGCCAGTCTGGTGTTTCCTGAGGCCACTGCTACCTCGTCTCCATCCCCATCATGGTCCAGGGACACGCTTTACAAGTGCAAACAGGAGCTTTCCTTCTTTGGGGAGGGAAATAAATCCAGGGTGCAAAACAACCCTGTGTGCACGACAGGTGACTCAGGGACACAAAAAATACAAAAGGAAGAGCTTCTGTACTGTAAAAATGATGTCCACATCAAAGGGTCTCACAGGCATTTTATTTAAAAGTTTTGAGGAGTTTATGTTGGTTCAATGTCCGTTTTACCGCGGGTGTCAATACCGACACTCTGGCACAGCGCGTTACCTCCCGATGAGCAGGGGCTTGTCACCTGCTGTCTTTAGGAAGCGACTACTCGATGACAAACATGAAAAGTCACTACAGAGCAGTGAAATCGACTAGTTCATACAACCCCAAGTTTGTAGTGTTCGTATGTCCAATATTTTCATCAATCAGCAACTGAAGCGCTGCTACCTGCTGTTCTTTCAGTGGACTGTCAAATTCTGGAATCACAATCACAACGTCCGCAACTACTCCATATTCAGCTGCTACATCCCAGTCAATGTCCGGCTCTTGAATATCCTGATAATTGGACCAAACAAATTTAAACACCACAATTATTATCATTCCCTTATTGCATCACAGTTATTAGCCAATATTGACTTGTTTAAACCTTATGTGGATTACCAAACTTTTCAAGCTATTTTACCAGCTGATCCATTTAAGCAAATGAACTTTAACATTAATTCCAAATACTTTAATTTGTTTCACATTTGATGCTGTTCACTTAGGACTCATTCCTTTTTATTTTGAATGAATTAAAAAGAAATGCACCTCAACTTACTCTGGCTGCTGGGTCAGGTGACACATCATTCCTGTGTATCATAGCTGCTCAGGAGTTTTGTTTCCTTCTGTTCTAAGAGGATGGTTGTTCCAGCCTTGAAGAAAAGCTTGTAGGTCTGCCTTCAATTTAAGATGAAACATCATGTGAACAGCAAAATGATCTTCTGTAAAAGAGTTAGAAATTGATTGCTGCGCCTTTGTCACACATGTTGCATGTACCTCCACACCTGTGATAAGGGATACTCTGAGTATGCCCTAGTGGTGAGACGTGTAATATAATGGTGGCCTCAGAGGGGATGCTGAGTCAGGGTGAGGTGCGGACGAGGTGACCGTTGGCGGTTTCTGGTGTCGAGGTGGTCAACGTTTCTGTTCCACAGACATGCCCTTGGCTACCGGCCAGGACGGAGCGGTGCGGAGCTGGGTTTGGAGAGAGTCGTGATGAAGCGGAGGGGATGCGGACGGAGGGCGAGCAGCTTCGCTGCGAGGGCCGAACGACGCTGCTTGCAGCTTTAATTAGGCCCGAGCAGCGAAGCGCTGCGAAGGCCTATTGTATCTGCTCCGTTTATTATTATTACGCTTTCTTTTTTCTTCCGCGTCTTTGGGTGGCCTTTAGGGGGTCTTAGCATATCCAAAAAGTCACCAAATTCTGGCCCAATATAGAAAGTGCGTGAAATTTACGTATTTCACTGGCGATGTGAAAGTTGATAAAAAAGTGGCTCGACAGCGCCCCCTAAAGAGTGAAAAATACCCCTCTCCATAAAGCTTAGTTTATCGTACAGTTATGAAATTTGGTATACTGGTACTACTCAACAGTCCGCACAAAAAAGCCTCTTGCAACCATGGTCAATATAAAACAGGAAGTCGGCCATTTTGGGTTGAAATGGCGATTTTTAGCCGTTTTGGCCATTTCTAGGGTCTATATTTGGTTGAACAGTTTCGTCATTTTTCGTACCATAGTCTCAAAAATAGTGTGCCATCGAACAGAAGCGATGGACGCTTCAAATGAGAAAATAAAATTGACTTTTCGTAAATACTGAAGGGGCGGGGCCAGGCCTCAAAGTTCGAGCACTCGCCAAAAAAATTCAAATTGCTATAATTTCACAAATGAAAGAATTACAGTTAAAGTAACTTTCTATGGATAATCGTCATCGCCCCCCGAAGACAAATGAATGGTCGCTGGATGATGTCACACAAGCCCCGCCCCCTCAGGACTTAAAACGTCAAGTTTTACTGGGAAATTTTCCAAAATTCGCCCTGTCGAATAATCAGCCCGAATTTGTAGCAGGTAACTGAAGAGAAGTTGGCGTTGCTTGACGTCACTTTATGGGTGTTTTCTGCAGAAGGCGGGGCTGTGGCGACGCAGCGAAGTCAGGCGTACCGCCGTGACCATACATGTGCCTCCCATGTCGTCATTTCTATAGATACAGTCACGAAACGTCTTGTGAGTGATCCTAGTCCGGCCCCCCAAAAGATCTCATGTGAACATCAAATGGGCGTGGCCTATTTTCTGAAATAGCGCCCCCTAGGTCCATTAAAACTGTCAGCCCCAAGCCATGCTTTGACTGAGGAGTACGAAATTTGGTACACTAATGTGGGGTCTCAGGACCTACAAAAAAGTCTCTTTGAGCCAAGTGCAAAGTCGCACAGGAAGTCGGCCATTTTGGTCCAATTACTCGATTTAGTGGTTTTCACACACGTTATTAGGAGAATGATGTCTCGTCGTCCTTTCCACCTATCACCTTCAAACTCCTGCTATATAATCTTAAGACATAGAGGAAAAAATTCAACCGTCGGATTTTATACAAGTATAAAGGTGTGGGCGTGGCTAAGCCTCAAACTTTGACCTTTCGCCATTACATTACTTGACTTAACAACTCCCATGTGCATGATCAGATCTATATCAAACTCCGTCTGTGTGATCATTGACCACATCTCAAGACAATGACAATGTGGACAGCTGACATCACCTATGCCCCGCCCCCTGACTACAGGAAGTCTATTTTTTAATGGTGAAATGCCCATATTTGTCCCCTCTACTTTAGTCAACATGACACTAAGGTCATGCACTGTCTTCATGATGTTGTAATGACCATTCAGATCTGATAGCTTTTCAGAAAGGGAAGGGCTTTGATGCCACGGCGAATTCTGGCGTGACGCCGTGACCTTACGTTTGACTGTAACTTCCACTAACAACCTCCGATCTGCCCGAGACTGAACATGGCAATCAACAATCATGCCCTTTATTCAACGAGGCACACACCGTTGGTGAAAGTTGTGTAATGTCACCACAGCGCCCCCTACACACCATTAAAACTGTAATAACTCCTACAGACGAGGTCGTAACTGCACCAAACTTGCTATGTGTACTCACACAATGGCACCCACCACAGTCCTGTGGTAAGTTGTTGATATTGCTTTAGCTCCGCCCCCTGACAGATATTAGGCCCTTAATAACACATGCATGATGCAATTCACACCAAACTGCACACAAATGACTGTCATCAACCTACAAACTTCTTCATGGAATAATTCTTAAATTTGGGACAGCGCCCCCTAGATACAAAAAACCTTTGTAACTTCTGCAAAAAAGTTCCAAACTACATCAAACATTGTGGGAGTCATCACACATCTGCAATCAACACATGTATGTGATCACTTGTTCAATTCACTTTAACTCCACCCACTTACAGCTTTTTGTCTCTAGATGACCCATGCAACGTTTGATTGATTCCAAATTAACAGAAAACCATCTTTGATGACCAAAGATGACCTCTATGGCATTTACTTGTAAATGGTCACAACGCCCCCTAGATGGGTTCAAACTTTATTAACTTCTAAAGTCAAAGTCAGAATGGCATTATACTTGGCTTGTGACATCACGTGACTGCACCAAACACATTGATGTGGTTGTTGATTCAAATCCCTGTAGCTCCGCCCCTTTCAGCTCACTGGCTTTAGATAACACACACAACGTCCGTTTGATGCCAAAATAACAGAAAACTGTCCTTGTCAACCAAAGCTGACCTCAATGGGATTTTTCTGTAATTGATCACAGCGCCCCCTAGATAACTTTAACTTTCGAAAACTTTAATAAATATGGGCAAAAAAGCACTAAAGTTGGTCTGTGTCATCACACCAACAGTGTGCTAAAGATAAAGTATGCCCTAGTGGTGAGACATGTAATATAATGGTAGGCTCGGAGGGGATGCTGATTCAGGGTGAGGTGTGGATGAGGTGACTGTTAGCTTTTCTTGGTGTCAGGGTGGTGGACGTTTCAGTCCGTGGACGTGCCCTGGTGCCCCGTGCTGCCGGCCAGGACGGAGCGGCGGGGAGTTGGGTTTGGAGAGCATCGGGGATGGAGCGGAGGGGGTGCGGAAGGAGGGTGAGCATCTTCGCTGCGAGGGCCGAACGACGCTGCTTGCAGCTTTAATTTATTATTATTATTATTATTTTTTTTCTTCCGCGTCTTTGGGTGGCCTTTAGGGGGTCTTAGCATATCCAAAAACTCACCAAATTCTGGCCCAATATAGAATGTGCGTGAAATTTACGTATTTCACTGGCGATGTGAAAGTTCATAAAAAAGTGGCTGAACAGCGCCCTCTAGAAAGTGAAAAAAACCCCTCTCCATAAAGCTTAGTTTATCGTACAGTTATGAAATTTGGTTTACTTGTAGTCCTCAACAGTCCGCACAGAAAAGTCTCTTGCAGCCATGGTCAATATCAAACAGGAAGTCGGCCATTTTGGGTTGAAATGGAGATTTTTAGCCGTTTTGGCCATTTCTAGGGTCTACATTTGGTTGAACAGTTTGGTCATTTTTCGCACGATTGTCTCAAAAATAGTGTACTATCGAACAGAAGCGATGGACGGTTCAAATGAGAAAATAAAATTGACTTTTCGTAAATACTGAAGGGGCGGGGCCAGACCTCAAAGTTCGAGCACTCGCCAAAAAAATTGAAATTGCTATAATTTCATAAATGAAAGAATTAGAGTTAAAGTAACTTTTTATGGATAATTGTCATCGCCCCCCGAAGACAAATGAATGGTCGATTGATGATGTCACACAAGCCCCGCCCCCTCAGGACTTAAAAGGTCAAGTTTTACTGGGAAATTTTCCAAAATTCGCCCTTTCGAATAATCAGCCCAAATTTGTAGCAGTTAACTGAAGAGAAGGTGGCGTTGCTTGGCGTCACTTTATGGGTGTTTTCTGCAGAAGGCGGGGCAGTGGCGGCGCGGCGAAGTCAGGCGTACCGCTTAGGCCTTACGTTTGCCTCCCATTTCGTCATTTCTAGAGATATCGTCACGACACTTCTTGGGAGACATCCTAGTCCGGCCCCCAAAAGAATCTGATGTGAACATCTGGTGGGCGTGGCCTATTTTCTGAAATAGCGCCCCCTAGGACCATTAAAACTGTCAGCCCCAAGCCATGCTTTGACTGAGGAGTATGAGATTTGGTACACTAATGTGGTGTCTCAGGACCTACAAAAAAGTCTCTTGGAGCCAAGTGCAAAGTCGCACAGGAAGTCGGCCATTTTGGTCCAAGTACTCGATTTAGTGGTTTTTGCACACGTTGTTTGGAGAGTGATGCTCCATCACCCTTTTCACCAATCACCTTCAAACATCTGCTATACACTATTAAGACATAGAAGAAAAAATTCAACCGTCGGATTTTAAATAAGTATAAAGGTGTGGGCGTGGCTAAGCCTCAAACTTTGACTTGTCGCCACGCCACTCTTTTTTTCACAGCTCCCTATTGGACTCCTTTTACTCAATCACCAGCAATCACTGGCACATAGCAGCAGACAAGTTGAGGTCACTTGGTGTATAGTACTGGCAGGTTTCGAATAAAGGCGGGGCTTTGGGAGCATGGCGAAATTCGCCATCACGCCATGGAAATACGTTTGTCTCTCATTTCTTCAATCATTGTGACATCGCCACACAATTTCTGATGAGTGATCCTACTCTGACCCCTAATAGAAAAGGACAGCTGAAGTTTGTGGGCGTGGCCTATTTTCTGAAATAGCGCCCCCTAGGACCATTAAAACTGTCAGCCCCAAGCCATGCTTTGACTGAGGAACACGAAATTTGGCACACTAATGTGGTGTCTCAGGACCTACAAAAAAGTCTCTTGGAGCTAAGTGCAAAGTCGCACAGGAAGTCGGCCATTTTGGTCCAAGTACTCGATTTAG